AGTCCGTTATCCCTCAGCCAACATGTGGCACATCACCCCTGTGTGTTGACTTACCGGCCGTCCATTATTCTCGTGAATCGAGACCGTTGTAGTCACATGACATTTGTTTACACTCTCACCTATAAACTTGTGTCTCATTACATTCACCTTCTGGTTCCCCAACAATCTCCCAATGATCCACTTACACTTACTTTTGCCGGATGCTAATCGAGTAAGCGGACTTTCCGCAATTGCATTTGTTTGTGTTACGCACTTTCTTACAACCAACCTCAAGCAGGTTTGTTTTCACTTATATTCGTTTGCTTCAACTTGTTCGTTATCCCATTGCAACCTATTTCACCATTTCCGGGATGTTATACTCCCACACTCACTGCTGGAAATCGTGTTCTAGTGGTGCGCGTTAGCACGTATTCTCACTTCGCTTATCTCGTGAGTTTCAATCTTGAAAGTTTGAAGTCCTCATGGAATTCTAACTTCCTCACTTTGTACCAGTGGTACAACACGAACTGAGTAATTTGCACCGTTTTGAGTAACGCAACAAACGCAGACGAGTGCTTGGTGTTGAGCTTTTCGCAAATACGCGGATCATCAGTTGGAGTCTGGACCCAAGCGCTACTATCACTCCGGTCGTTTTTCTTCAAGTCAGTCAGTATACGCTTTATGTACCAAAATGTGTGCAATTTTAGCGTTTTTCCTTATCAACTGTAAATGTAGCAAACGGCTACCACCAAAAAAGGTACATTTACAAATAGATAGTAAAATTAGTGAAGTGAGCTCTCATAATTCGATGGAGCAACAATCCCATAATGCTGAACTACATCTTAGCGATTTGCATCCATTCAGACCAGAAAATGTTTCATTTAAACCTCTTCATAATTCGTTTCAGTTGACGTTAGATGTTGTGTCTAACTACAATAGGTTGGGGATCGTGCGCGATATCTCAACGTTTATACTCAACTGGTGGATATAGATTGGTCTCAATGTCCTTAAAAGTTGACCAAAATATCTGTCAACTTATTCTTACAAAACATGTATCTACAGTAGATAATGTAAAAAGATTATGTTTGGCGAAAAAGACAACGGCCAATTTAAACACCCCGCCTGTGATGGGGACTGGAAATACTGGAAATGCGTCCAGTCTGCAACCATCCACAGAACGTACAAATGACCAATCAGGCGCCAGCAGGCGAAAGAGCGCATACTCGTGCACCCTTGAGCCAAGGCTTGTGGCAATGGACCGAGGGAAGAAGCGCGCGGGCCCAATCCCGCCAATCGTACATCCACTAAGAAAGTCAAAGTGATTTTAGCTAGTGAACGTGGCGAAGAAGCGTAAACCAATGGAAAAGGAGCCAACGACACAATACAAATAACAGGGGTGAGCCATTGAAACGGACTGTTGTAAATAGTGTATATACTATAAATATTCGAACGTAATCTTCATAAACGACTTCGTGATCGTGGCCCAGTCTTCTTGCTTTCCGGAGGGCAACACAACACCGCCAATTTACACCGACCGAATGTATCGACATCTGTGGTGCATTTGTCTCCCTTACCCTTAACCGGTCCACTATTACGAAATACATGGTTCTTGAATTTGACCTGAGAAGATTCTCTGCTCATTGTTGCTGTTTCGCAACACTGGTGGTCTAGTGAGGCTGCGACATCTTGATGTGAGCCTTTGTCCTTCAGCTCTGCGCTTCGCGACTGCTTTGTTCCCTTCAGATAGAGACAGCTGAATCGGAATTGTCCCCACACGAACGTTCTTGAGCTATGTCCCCTGACCGTCGATGTCACGGTCGCTTACATCTGCACACCGGTCGCGCTACTTCCACTTCCGTTAGCCACCCGGTGGACCGGGTTGAGTAGCCCCGTCACTGACTGGACGATTAGTCTGTCTACATTATCCCCTCTCCATGGAATCTCAAGGACGATGCGCGGCAATCATGATCAACGAGGACTTTACTTTGGCTGTATACTGTTTACACTGGATGTTCGCGTCAGCGATATCGGCTATCTAATCGTTGGGGAAGTTTTTACTCAATTTCTGACGACTTTTTGTCATACTAAGGTCAACGACTTGTGCGATATCGACGCCTGCGGTCAATTGTCAATACTTTCTCGTTGTGTGAGATTATAATGGTGGCAATTGATTGAAATGTATGTTTACCACTAATCATGACGGTGTGTCTCAGTTCAACAAAGCATCCAGCTGCCACAGTTCACTACAGAATAATGAGAAGAGAACGGTGAAAGGGGGGACAGAGACTGAAATGGGTCGGCGATCGCATGAAACCGCCGCACAGAAGTATCTCAGACGATGGATTGTCAGACAGCGGTCTTAACAACTGTTATCGAGGCATAGAGTTTCATATACCACGGCGTTCATATTCCTTGGCTCATTACGTGCGCTACTGATCCGTGGAAGACGCTACTTCTGTCGCATCGAACTGAACCATTCAGTTCAGTTCATGAATCATGCTTCCAGCACCGAATCGTACCTTGCCATATTAGCCTCTTGACGCCCGCACAGCATGGTTTCGTAAAAGGTCACTTATACATCACCAACTTGCTGTTAATGAGACACGAATGGTTGCAAGCGCAGAACCAAGGCAAGTCGGTCGACATCATCTACATCGACTTCAGTAAGGCTTTTGACAAGGTGAATCATGAGGTGCTTATCCAAAGGCTTAGGGTGTGCGGTGTTGGCGGCTTGCCACACCAATAGATCAGGAATTTCCTTGTTGGTCGAAAGTGGAGAGTCCAGGTCGACAACCATCTGACCGACTGGTTTCCCTCGAGAAGTGGTATGCCTCAATGCACTGTGATGGCGCCTATTTTGTTCCTGATCCATATAAACGATGTGCCTCAGCTTCTCCGTTCGCCTTGGGCGTTGGTTGCTGATGACTTGAAGGTCTGTAGTGTAATCCACGCACCCATTGACTGTGACCTGCTTCAGCGGGACCTTGACCGCCTCTCCATGTGGTCTGTGGGGTCAACCTTCCGATCGACCCGGTCAAGTCGCAATTCATGAGGCCTAGGTAAGTGGGAGCACAGTTGAACCCACACTGTGGCCGCCCAATCGTTGCATCCCGCGCCTTTCATGAGAGACCTCGGTGTACTCTCACGCTGCGACCTGAAGTCCATGGATAACACGAATTGGCTTTACCAAAACGGTCTTTGTATGCTTTGGGCACTCAAGCGCAGCTTCAGCACTTGGTCCGAAGAGATTGTCAGTCGCCTCTTCGTCCCAATAATGCGACTAATATTAGCATACGGCTCATCCTCACACTGTCCTATCACCCGGGGCGAGATAGAAAGGATTGAGCGGGGATAGCATGTGGCCACCAGGCTGATCCCCAATTTACAAGGTGTGCCGCACGTAGACCGGTGTAAGAGACTAGGGCTTTACACCCTATTCTATCGTCGATTTCGGGTTGATCTTATCATGACGCACTGGATACCACATTTCGGTGATTACCCCATGTTTAGACCGCTGCTGCATTTGCGCGCATCAAGCAGCACACTAGGGCACCGGTACAAGCTTGTAGTACCGGATTTGAGGTGGGACGCCCACCAACTGTTTCGAACGGAGAGTGGTCAATGTATGGCTCAACCTGCCGCAGCACGTAGTTCAAGTCAAGTCAGTATAAGCTTTATGTACCCAAAAGGGTACATTTTCAGCATTTACATTATCAACTGTAAATTTACTAATGGGTTACCATTAAAAATGTAAAGTTTACAATGGATAGAAATTGAGGATTCACTGTCATTGATCGAGCAAGCAACGATTCCAAAAGCTGGACTAAATCTTCGGGATTTGTATGCATTGAAACCGGAAAGGTTTCATGAAAATGTTTCTGCGAAATTCGTTTCAATTGACGTAGAATTTTATGTTCAAAGACATTAGATCGCGGATCGTGCGCGATATCTGGCCTGTGTTCAAGGATAAAGTAAAGAGCTTCATTGACCTTGAAAGTTGTTTGAACAAAATATCTGTCAGCTTATCGTGCAATACCCGTAGCTAATGTAAAAATGATGTTCGGCGAAAATGGCCACGGCCGATTTAAAGGCCCCGTCCAAATAGTTGAGGCAAACTCGGTGTCGAAATCTAAGAAATTTATGGACAAACACTGCCGATATCAAATATGTCGTGCGCATTCCAACATAACCTGGGTGATGTGATGCAACTACACAGAGATGACTTTTCTTGATGCATTTAGTAATCAGCTACCGATGTTTAGAAAGAGAAAGCTAAAATTTTAATCAGAAAACAGCTCATCTAACTCGTCCACTTTAAGTCAAGCCCTGGTGTTGCTAGAGGTTGAGCGTCTCATTCGGCCCACACAATTGACGCTTTAAAAGCACCAATGCGTAAAGTTCGTTTAACCGAAGAACATCTGAATAGGATGATCTACTGTCGATTCTTCTATTACGTCACATTTGGTAGGCCACTTGATCGTGATACCCCAACCCGAATCGACAAGACACAGCAGCGAATGTGCCCTTCGACTAGTCACTTCACACCCATTCGCCGCGTCATTCATCGTACTCTTAATCTTTACAGTCGAAAACTATACACAATGCTTGGAAGAATATCGGCAAGCTGACCTTTCCGGTAAACTGATACCCGCTTCCTATTCAAGTGGGTTGCACAAGGCCCGCGAGCCACTATTTTGCAGGTTTCCGCATCAACCATTCGCTCGCACGGACAGACACACCATGCGCACGCGTGCCTTTGTGTGTGTGGACACGTTAGAGGGGAGGGCAAAACTTTCCATTGCGTGGGCGTGCAGATATCTCCTGGCCACGGCAGCTGATTGGATTCGTTTCTGTCCCGGTTCGCTGGCTCGCGAGCCGACTCGGCTTCGTCCAAGAAACCAATAGTCTTTCAGCATTCCGGATTGAATGTAGCCACAGACAGGTGCACACCCCTGCGTGACTGTCTGTACATCTAGCGCCACGCTAGCGCTCTCTGCCCTCATCGATTCCGACTGAGCTTCCGCCCTTGTGGCTGTCAGAAGACACCGCTGCCTTCACTTGTGTCCACTGCCGGGTCAGCTGCTAGCGTGTGCGCGCGCGTGACTCGTGTTGGCTTGGCGTTGTGGTCCGCGTCGTAACTCGCCACTCCTCACATTTGCCTGCACGCGGCAATGTCCTCTCCAAGTAGCTTGGAAAAAAGACGACTGAAAGATCGGAAGCGTAATTTTAATCCTCAGTGGGAACAGGATTTTGCTTTCATCAATCACGAAGGCAGGCCACTTTGCCTGCTCTGCAACACCTCATTGACACACTTCAAATCTTGCAACTTGAAGCGACACTATGAGACACACCACAAGAAATTTGCTGCAGACTACCCGCCCTGGTCTGAAATCAGACGGAATAAATTACTGGCCTTAAAGCTGACGCACACAAAGCAACGCGCTGATGTGGCCACCACGAACCGCGATGCCGATTCGGTTGGCGAAGCGGGTCGCATGATCTCTCAGCTGTTGCGGCAGACCGATCACGCTTCTCCAGATGCGGAGTTTTGCAAGCATTTGATCTCCCGAGTTGCCTCCATTTTGGACCCCAACAACACTAGACTCCAGCGCTTGATCACTTCAATTCCGGCGCACGACCAAGATATCATGGGCTTAATCAACACGTACAAGGTAACCACCGTTTTGTTACGCGGTTTTCCTAGTTTGTGCCAATTTAAGGTGGCCTCTTACCTTTTCTGCTTCATTTTTGCCTGTCGCCGGGCTATGCCTCAGCGCATTCACTGTTCCAGCTGTACCCGTGTGCTTCACTTCTGTGCACCCGTTATCGTGCGATGTCCATCTCACACGCTTTATACGCATAGGTTCTCAGTAGGTACAGACTGTGGTCTCATTACTTTCTCAATCGTTGGTTGTACTCTCATAATCGTCATGCGTATGTCTACTGCCTTCATCTTCCCTCACATTAAGTCGACTGTGCTGTGTACCCTGCATCGGTGGATCGGTAGATGTGTCATAAGCGTTTTTCGCTCTCCTATCTTGCAGATCGATCTCTCCCATCACTACTAGTATTGGATGACTGAACTGCGTGGCACAGGACACCTGACTCTGTTTTAGATATTCATCAATGTGGTCTGTGTCCCCAGCAGGGTTTCCTTTGTCGTTTAAGTGTTTCGAAACTAGTCCGTGTCCTAGGTATTCCATCATCAACAAGCATCGGCTTTTTTCTTGCGCTAGATTCTATTTATTTATCTGTCGGATACAACAAATCGCTTACTTATCAGACAAGTACCCATTTGATCACCACGGTCTATTCTCACTTTTGAATTCCTCGGTGGTTATAACTCACAAAAGTGACTCACTTTCATTGGCTCTCTCATCGCTTTTCGCACATAATTCGTATACCCTTGGTCACCTTCCACCATCACTTAAGCTAGCGTGATACAGCCATTAGTACAGTAAACCAATTACCTAAGTCATCAGATACATAGTTTACGCGTTTAATCAGATTTAGACACTTCGTTAACGTATCTTTACCAAACACTTTACTGGTTGTTTTGAGATGGTGGACAAACCCCTCTTGCTCATCATTGTCCAACCTACAGCCGCGCTATATTTGGTCGAACTTCACTTTTATCCCACGTTATCCCCCTGGGTGCCACATGTTCGTCACACGGCTGTCCTTTGAACTGAACACCGTATGCCAATGCTTGCCACTTGCACCATTGTGTAGCGCATCCAGTCTATACACTAGCGTCACGTTTCAGTTCGCTTTTTTCTTTTATTTTAGTCCGAATCGGCTTGCGAGCTCAGCGGATCGCCGGATAATGTCTCAATTCAGACGTCCGATTATATGACACGCCTGCGTACCAATGCCTTATATCGTCTGCTGACGCGGAATATCAGGCGCATCGAGGCCGCTGCAGGCTGTTTCATATGTTCTGCATGTCCGCTTACATCTGTCGGGCAAGGCCTAGTCTCTGGGGTGTCTTATTCGGATCCCCGCATCTTTCAAGACCACTTGTCGAAATACCACCATCACTTGCCCTCCATTGTGTGTGTGTACTGTGGCTGGCGAGTACCCGGAGGAGGCGACCACTTTGTTTCCCACGTGGCTCAGCATTTCTTACCCACGTATTCCTCCGAGCATTCAACATCTGGGGGTGGAGTGTACTGTTGCCCAGCTGAACCCAGTTGCTCGACACGCTTCCGTACCGACCGGCTTCCGTCCTTGGAAGTTCATTGGCTCACCCAGCACGTAGCCGACGTCAAGGTCCAATCGCGTTTCAAATGTCCCCATTGTCCGCGAACCTTCGCCAGTTTATCTCTATGGGCAGCGCACATCCAACACAGTGCTCGACCTCTTATGCACTGCTCCGCTCCTGGTTGTTTGGTCAAATCACCTTCGCGAAGCTTACTTATCGATCACATCCATCGCAGACATTCGGCCGAAACCAGCGACCAGAACCCAGTGGCAGAAATGATTAATGAAACGCTCGAGGTAAGTTCACAGTATTATCCCAGCCGTTACACTCATGTTCCTAAGTACACGTTCTTTGTCTTCACACCAAGCCATTCGTGCCCAAGGTCCACTTTTCACCCTCGTGAGCTCTGTCCTTTTGTGTCGAACGGTATTACTTTATTTTTCCTCTATTTCCCGCACCTACTTTTTTTGGTTTTCGAGACCCGATTTGATGTAGTGAGTGCATTGCAGCCACTGGACGCGAATGACTTTCAACTGAAATGTTATTCTATTGGAACCAATAAAGCATCTGCTAGCTGCAGCAATTAACTCGATGGACAATTGCATCCGCTTAGATTAGCTTTGTGCATATGTTGAACACCCATCGGACTCTTGAACCGTCATGCCATTTCCTCAGTCTAGTTTAGTTACGAACGCTCCGGTTTCTGTGACGTTTACCATTTGTAAACACTCGGCCGCTAAACTTCACATAACGCAAGTGGTACCATAATGTGTTCCTACGACTACACTGCCTGTTCTGCTTTCGCCCAACGGCGATTGCATCCCGTCCAACTACGATTGTTGTGTTCAACGGGCCCGACTTTCGAGTTTTTGCACCCGAAGGGGTTGTACAGTATCATGTTAATCTAGATGTCGTGCCTCGGTTGTTTCGTTCTCCATACGCCTTTTTGATTTGTTGTAATTCTTAGCTACCGTACTTTTTTGTTCATTTGCCTTCTTTTTGGTGATTGCTTGCGCACAACCTTCGACGAGTATCGTTACCTTGTGTGTCCACGCACATTGCTTTCCTCCCGATAAGTTCTTCGTCCTCTTAATGCAATTGATGCGAATTTATCACCCCGTAAGATCGGAGTGCAAAGAATGGTCATTTATGCAACGAGATCTCGACATCTTTCCCCTCTTCGTACGACACCAACCCCAACGTCCACTTATCATCATACGTTACTCGGATACGGTGTAAGATGTAGGAAGCACTTAGCACCCGTTTACACCGTAATCCCACCAATACCAACTCAACAGATCATCACTCATGTTCCGGTACAGTTCCAGTTGTAGTTGTTCACTCATGTTGGGTCTCGTCGATGTGTTTGGCTGATATCATGTGGAGCGTTTCTTACTCCTTTTGTACGCGCTAGCTGCACTGCGGTGGAGTATTGATGAGACAGACGATATGCACCATTTTCGCAACAGTATTTGGCTCCGTGGCTCCATCACGGCGTGGGCCACGACCCAGTTATCAATTTTTAAATTAACAACCAGCCGGCACAGTTAACTGTTCATCAAGTGTGCTTATTGACCCTCTAGGCTACTGACACGCGGATTCAGCCGTCCCTCGGGGACATGCGTATTAACAGAGTGTGGACCTGCTCCTTATGTTTTCAACTCGCATATTTCCATACCGCTTCAGGCTTGCGCTGTTTAAGAGGTGTGCTAGTGTGGTAGCACACGCCGCCCGTAGTCACTGTGCACCTGCAACTATCTTGATACCGTTCATAATTACATTGATTGTCAATCAAAAGGCGGATGGCATCATTTGTTTTTCTTATCACCGCATCCGTACAGCCATCATTTCGCATACGACCGGCAATCAGTGAAGACTCTATCTCAGCTCCACTACCTTGTTCTCGTGACACTAGGCTTTCGAGCTGATTATTCGGGCAGCACGGGTTTGGAACCCGATCGTCTGCCAGCATAACTCGACCATCTTAAGTTTTCGTATTCACATATTGTCTACCGAATTTGATCAAAAACGGTGCTGCCGGTACAATCCGACAGCGGACTCATACAATGTTCTCTCTGCCCTTGCTTCCAAAGCTCCCTTGTTTCCACTTAATGCCAGTCACAAATGCATGCTAACCATTCCCATTTCTTACTACACTCAAACCCATCCGGCGGTTTGTCCCGACGAGCTATCCGCCCATCACGCCTTGTAGTAGGTTGCGAGCGGCAAGAAGCTCCTACACGCCACACCCACCACTATGCCTACGGGCGCTTTTCCATTTACCTTGCTACCGTTCAATTTCGGCCTGTTACTGTGTGCGTGCAGCCACTCGGCGCGTTCCTCTGTCCCGGTAGTCATCGCCCACCCTGTTTTCTGAGATGATTGGACACTTCTGTAAAGTGAAGTGTCTCGGTCTATGGGACACATCCGCTAGTCTACCTCACATCTCACTCTTCCAACGTCAATCGGCTGTGATTTCCCTATAGCGAACTAGCTCTACGTCTTACATCGTCGACTTGACGTCACATTTGTCCTTTGATGTGCGCGTCATGCCGATTCTAATTTGCCTTCCTTGTGTGACATTGCGCTGATTGACGAGATATCGGCTTGTTTTCGGTCAATTCGACGGCGACACCATCTACAGCTAGATACGAAACCGTACAATCACTGCAGCCCAAAGCGAGCCAGAGACTGTCTCACGTGATTTTGACATATCAGCATCCGCGTTATCCGCCACATTGAGCAGCCCATGCGAAATTGTACGCGCTACTCAATACTACCCAAATCGCAAACGGTCTCGTAATCGTGATATGAGCGGCTGAACCAACATGTGTTTTGGCAGCGTAGGCATGCGGCCTGTTCTCCTCAGGATCTTTACTACAGTGGCATGCGAGTACAGGCCGCGCGAATGGATATTGAAGGGTTTCCCACCTCCACCGGTTGGTTGCATAAGTCCAAAAGACGAGTGCTCCATCATATCACCAGTTTGCCGATGATTCTCTTGTCTGCACCACAAAGTGTGCTACGTTTTTCAATCCTGGCTGTTTGTTCTGGTATCCACAGTTCGAGTCCATTTCATTACTGTGTCCCCTCCACAATAGTCAACTATTCGAAAGGGACAGTCTCCGTTAGTGTATGTCTGCTACTGGCAAGGTCTGACCGTATCCTTTTTCCTGACATTGCATGTCTGCACGTTCCTTGCTCTCATTTGCATTTATCAGCAATCGTTTGCGAATTTTCTGGAACCTAACACAGCATTTTGCTTGGAGTAAAATTGAATCCCCAGTAGCACATTCGAGCACTTTGTCGTGTCCACTGGACTCTGAATCGCTACTCTGGGCAAGATGGATGCCACGCAGTTCTCTCATTCTACCACGAAGGTTTCTTCGCTCTGCCGTTTATTGTGCCTCGACTATGCTTTACGATACGACTCAGTTGCTTACGTGAGCTCGTGGCTCTTAAAACAAGCGAGCCGCTTTTTCAATAGATATCCATCCATTGCAAGCGTGGCTGAAGTAACTTGATACCCACAGAATGAAAAAGAATCTGAAACACACGAACAAAGTTTATAGTCCTTTGTGCTGCTGACTTTTCCGTCGTTTGTCCGGGTTATACAACTTGTCGGAATTTCACCTCTATTAGCCTGTTATTGGCCATTTTCTACCGGGAGGATCCTGTTTACTTAAAGGCCTCAGCAATTCTCATCACTACGGGTACGGGCCGGGCAGGTACATTTCTCAATACGGAAAGAAAGTACATATTTCGATTTGTAAACGTTACGATTGCTCTCATTAGTCACAGACGCAATACGCACAAGATGTAAACGAAAGTACGCTCGTGAAACAAATGTCCATGAACAATTTGCAGTGAAGTAATCAGATTCACGGCAAACTGATTGTCTCAATTACTTTCATGCGAACAACGCTGCACGAGGTATCCGTTTGTTTTCTGCCAATTCAACGACCACGCCAGTTGATGACCACGTTGCGCACTTGGGGAAGATTGGAGCGGGAGCGTAATCTGTGCACACATGATGGCTTTACCAACACAGGATTCTGCGATGACGATGGCTTTCTCCAGCCATGTTTCTCCCACGTCATTCAGCTCTTTCGTAGCTAGAATACAGCAGCAGTTGTCATACATTCCTCGAACACCCAACTGTTGGGTTTCGATACAAAGTGTAATATGCTCCCGCGCCTTGACTGTTGTCGGAGCGTAGAATCTATCACTCGGACTCTGGATATACTGATTCCGGCTCACTAATGCAAGCTTTTATCAGACGACAAAGATTATGAGCCGATCATCTACTTCTAAAGAATTTTACTCCACGAAGATCTACTTTTTTACACTCAAATCTCGCGTATTTGGACGTTTACAGTCCTTTCAAGCTCTACATTCTACCTCAGCGTATTTGATGGACGCAGCCCTGTCCCTCCTGTTGGTACCTCAATGTTAGTCGATCGAACAGTTTCCGGGATATTCTTTTGCCCAATTTCTCTTGCGCGAAAGATTCAGGTATGCAGCTAGCCTACTTTGTAGCTCTCTTCTCAGGCTATTGTCATTTTTTGACCTGAAGCTATCCTCCGTACGGTGGCTCCTAGGTATATAATGTATCAGCAGTATATAGATGCTACATCAGCGCCCGTGAGATTGTAGATGAGATCACGAACTGTATAGCAAAAGCTCGAGGCCTTTTTACTAACCTTCGCCACTTACAACGCCAGCGCGACATAACTCTCGCCCTGAAGGGTAGAGTGCACAATACAGTGGTACGCTCGACCCTACTGTACCGTTGTGAAACCTGGCTCCTTAGATCAGCCGAGGCTAGTTGCGTTCGACCACTCGTGTCTTCTCAATTTGGCTCACATCTGGTGGGAACACCGAGTTTGCAACGAGCGTGCTCGACGCCTTGTTTACGGCACAGGAATAGGAAATGAACCGCTCGGCACCGTTATTTCACGCACCAGGCTCCGATGGCTCGGCCACGTGTTACGCATACCAGCCCACCGACTCCTGCGACGTGTGTTGTTTGCGCGCCGAGGTGTGAATGGAAGAAGAACTGGGGTGGCCAAGCGATGACTTGGTCGAAAGGAATGAAGGCCCTCACTTCTGAGCTGGCCTCGGTTGGAGCGTCTCGGCTCCCTGGTTGGGGTCCGAAAGACGATGAACACGTTTGCCTGGATACACTTGCTGATATGGCTAGGAGCCGAACTCAATGGTGTTCGTGTTGTGAGTTTCCTTGTCCCTCCGCCTCCACGATCTCACTTCTTAGCGTAATATACTTTTCCATCATAAATTGTTCTTGATTCATAGTAGCCGGCTGATAACTTTCCAAAACGATGCCCATCCGTTACTGGTAGCTCAGGTGGCGTGCATTTCTTGCATTTTCTTTTCCGTTTTTCTTTTGCGTATTGCGGCACAGTAGCTGAGGTGTTTCCTACCTCTAGCTAACTTGTATTATGATAATGATAGAGCTGCTACGTGCTGACACTTCATTGACATCCGACCGCACCCGCTTGTGGACGATCCTGTGTGCTGCTGGTCACCCAACTACAGGATCAGAGATGTGAACTCAGGCCGTAGACTGTATGCCTTCGACATCGTATAGTGGGTGCTCTGTTTATATCTTTAACATGTAGTAGCGCCTCCAGCCCCACTCCTATCGATGTTGTCTGCTCGCACCATACTTTTGTTACCTTTCATTCGTGTATCCGGTCGCTGGTCCCATGAACCCAGTTTAGGTATCTTCACGCACCTTTATTGCACTTTCGTATGGTTTCGTTTGTCAGTGCGAAACCCTTCACTAGCCCTCGTTATCTCCAACCTCGTAGCAAGGCGACGCTATAGTTGCTTGATTTATTACAATAGATCTAAACTTAGTTTCGAATCATGTAAGAGAACTCCTGCGCCCGTGTAACCTAACTGCGTGTCCACAGGGATCCGCAGCTGCATGGAGTCGCTTGCGAGTAAGGGTATTTTGGCTTACTCATTTTACAATCGGATCCGTCCCATTTCTCGCTTAGTTTTCATCGTAGTGCATCTTCTCTGCCACTTCAGACGCCATAGTGTAGCTTTATACAATCGGTGCCGCGTCGAGCGCTTCTTACGGGTAATTTGTCAAGGATAGCTGGCGTTCGCCGGCTGCGAGTTTACTTGACAAGTGAAGTTTCTCGGAGCCGAGCCTCTTCTCACTAAAGAGGAGAATGAGCGTTATGTGAGCACACACTAAGGCGCGGTTGCGGTGTGCTTGCGTGCTCCAGATCGATCGGCAATGTTGCACTAGAGTGTGCCATTTGCATTTGCTAACGATATAATTATACTCCGGGTCAGAACATCTCTTGGTTTGGCAGGTGTCAGGCGCAGTACAAGCGCTGTTGCAGTTGATTGATTGGATAAACTGATCGGGAGCATCATTCCAGCAGGCATCGAACCCGGGACCGTCTACAACGCGTTGTTCAGAACCTAGTTGTAAATACATTTTGGGTGTCACGATTCATCTGTCCATGTTGTTGGTTATACCGATTTGAGATACCCACTGCCTTGGGAACCCTTTAACTGATCGTCTGCCTGCAATCTGTGGGAGCGTACGCCAAAACAGTAAAAGGCAGAACGTCTTCTCACCCGGCCTACCAGCATACGAAAGTTCGAATTCGTACCGTACGCACGAACATTCACTGGATTCAAACGAACTAAGTTGCTTTCGACTTTCTTTCTGGGTGCAACACCTAGAGCGTAACTGCTGCGAGCCATTGACTCGGTTGACAGCTTTGGCCTCATTGTCTGCACAAACTGTAGATTTATGAGTGGTCCTTCATTGATCAAGCTGATGAGATTTGTGAAGTTGGCTGGGCTGCTCTTCCTTTGACATCATTTTTATACTGTCAACTGGGGATATGTCAGTCTTGTGGGTATATTTTGACTTAACCGGCTAAACCGCTTCCAAGGCCACTGAGACCGTTTTATTCCGTCGATATTTTTAAGATCATCGAGATAGTGTATACCATTCGAGCTTTGCTGCTAATAGAAGCCAGTTATAGAAAAATGTTTTGATAGAACTTAACCCTGTCAACCGGACACAATCCTTGTTGTTTCTCTCCAGCAACGTGCGGTCGTTACGCGGGGGATGCAGAACTGTTTACTTGAATGATTTCTGTGCAGCACCTCCCTTCGTTTTTCCATTTGTGGGATTTCCCTTTTTGTTGGTAACATTTCAGTCCATCCGCAGCTGACAGTGTAAATTGTTGAAAATTCTCCCATTCCAGTGCATAAGGCTTGACTTAACTTGAAAGAATAGCATGGAAAGCCGTTGACTGGGTTTTGAAGCCCTTCGGTCCGAGTAGCACCCATTTAGGTGAAGCGGCGCATTGTGTAAACCAGTTCCGTGATCCAAACGCCTTGTAATCAAGCTTTTGAGGCAAGAGGGCTTAGTCGTGGACCCCACTCGGTCTCCAACTCAGGTCTGGGTGGCCAGACAGCATTCGAACTCTCATTGAGACAAAGGTACAAAGCCCTGACACGGACGTTAGTGATGCTGATGCTCGCAGTTCATATGATCAGCTGTACGCCTAGTTATCTGTACGTATCTCTTCTTTCCCCTCTCATCATTACGTTAAGTAAAATACTCGGAGTTCAGCGAAACTCTCTCTCTTCTACACTGTTGGCTTTTAACTGTCTATTACCATCTAGCATCTGACTTGCATCCTCCTTCATTGTTGTCGTTATTCTCCAGATGGTGTGCAGCACTTCGGACTCTCCTCCTGCTCTGGCCGAATCTGATGACTTCCATTCGTGCTCGAAGGATTCAAAGTCGCACACTTCCTGGATGAACACAGATGGTTTTCTCTCACCCGAGTCGAGCAACCTAGTGCTCTCTAGCCTCCATCCCAAATTTGTTTTTCTCCTTCGATGCCCCTGCTGCCGGATGAGTACAGTGCGTTGGCAACACTTTTTATTGCATGCGTCGCAATGCCCTGGCCCATCCCACTCCCGATCCAGTCAAATCAGCGGCTCCACTGGCAACCAAAACTATCTTTGTCGAATTTACTGGTGCTCAGAGTGTCAAGCTGTGTCAACAGAAAAGTGCTTGGTCAGCGAACATGTGGCTTACTCACATGAGACACGGGTCAGTTATCCCCACAAGTTAACCACTATCCTTTCCGCTGCCTTTTCCAGTTCGATGTAGTTGGTATTTGTCGTTACTACAATCCTCTATGTTACACTCATATAAGTCAATCTCTGAGGCACTAATCACAACCTGCTTTCCAACACATCTTGGGAACGTCCTTAGGCCTCTCAAACATCTTGATACCCCGTTCTTGCTCCCCAAAACAGACCGGCATGGATCAGTTCCTATTGCCTTTTGGTGTTGACCGTCCTCTTTATATGGTTTTCGTTTCGCTTACCCAGCTACAGGATTCACATGCAGCCTCCACGGCGCGGGTTGCCTCTGTGTTTCACTGTGAACTGGGAGTTCATCTGTTCCACCTATTTTATTTTCGCTTAGCTAATGTTGCACCAAGTCTCATATTGCTGCAGATAGACTCAATCCGGTGTTCGACTCTGTGGCGAGAGGCGACGCGTTGGAACCGTTCTACCAACGCTGTGAAAACGAATGCCGGGCCAGAGTGTGAGAACAGGGGCTGGCTCAATGAACCGGGGGAGCCTCTTGGTCGAACCTCGTACTAGATCGTGGTAGTGGGGACAGTTTGAACGTCACGGTGAGGACTGCTTAGCCAGCATGATATGGCCCGACCGGAAGCATTCGATTAAAGACAGGGCTAAGGAGGTGGACGCCAAATCTGCTGCTGAACCTCCCTGCAGTTTTCTGTGACGCGCTCTGCTTTTAACGTAAATAGAGCCTTGATCGTCGCGCAGTTCGACTTCTACATTTCGAGAGCGAATTTCAGCAGACTCTGTCTCACATCGACCGGATGTTTCTTTTCCGTTGCTCACCCACAACCTCATCGAACAGTTTCCATGTTACCATGTTCGACACCATTCACGCGGCTAACCGCATACAAATGTGAGATTTCTGAAGACCATCACACAGGAACAATGTGATGTATGACCGCTACAAAGCGTTCTCCGTTTCAGTACACCCTACGTCCCTTACTGTCGAAAATATTAGATGCATCTTCACGGCCACAACTGACTGTTCTCATAACTGGCGGTGGTAGGGTTAGTGAGACAGTAACAGCTAGCGTTTGTTGTTATGGACAATTTCACTAATTAATCAGTCCTGTACGCTTCATACCCGGGCCCACAGTCAGTTTGACTCTATAATACTCCACCTCTCGCAGTGATCTGCAGCTGTTACCATCTTTAGAGCGAGGATAGTTTGGTATTTGGGATTGTGGATGCGATTGTGTTCACCGTGACTTCTGCTCTCTGATCTGCATGCATCGTTATCGGTAGATGTGTAACTGCCTTTCTCCTCCACGCAGATCATCATTGCAGCGTTTATTTACGCGAACTCATCACCGTGATCATAACGCTCAGTGCGGTTAATTGGTTCCAGATTCGAATGAGCTGCGTTCCGCGCCACGACATTCGCCTGGAGCATTTCCTCATAACTGTTGGTCTGTACGTTCGCGTGTCTACGAATGTTCTCTGCAAATCGAACTGACCGGGAAGGACGAAAAGGCGTTCTTGCCCATAGCGTTTTGTCGAACCCAAGTTGAGGCAGGGGATCAACCGCAAATCGTTGATTCTTCACGGGGACACACGGCTGCGTTTCGACCCATCGGCATCCAACCGACTCCATCTTCCAGTTGTTGATGTGTGTATGTGTACCTATGCCTACTGCAGAGCTTCGATCGCAAACCACCGCCCGCATACCGAAGTTGTCGGTTTTTGGTCAAAATGAGGACACGAACGGGGTGTGTGGATGCCTGTCGGCCCTAGCCACCAAGTTGTTCTCCTTTCCGGTTAGTCTAACGCACGCACACGAGCGCACGCCCTCGATGTTGGTAGCTTTGTCATCACGGGAAGGCAGACTCAGTCGCAATTGGGCGCAACGGGATCTTGTCGAAAGGCAACTTCTTGCTGGACGGTTTGCCTAGTGTTTGTGCTGCTTCCTATGTGGGTTTGTGCGGGGGAGGCAGAAAACCTTGTCTCTACTCTTTTGAGACTTGTCAAAGACTGCGCACGCATGCAGTCCTGCCGACGTCCGTTACTGTATTGGCCGCGAGATGGCGGTCCATCGATCTGCGCGTGTGGTTTGCATCCGCTTCAGTTCATCCGCAGCGGCGGGTGGTTGACCTAACCATGAGCCTGCCAGCACATTGCAAGCGATCGGAATCTAATTACGGTCTAACGCACGTCTTTTTGCGCTGGTGTTGGTGTGTCATTTCGTGCGGTCATCGACCGGAGCACTCGCGTGCATATGTGCGCACTGAGCTTGCACTGTGATAAGAGTGGGAGCCGCTAATGAGAGCTGCAAGCAAACGTCTTGGGTCTCTATAACCACGCTCAAGTAGATCCAGTACGTGGGCTTCGCGAGAGATGGTGCGACAATTGACCCTCTGTTTCGCTCGCAAACGTTCCAATATTGGCAGTAAGGTTCAGTTCAGAGTGGCGCAGTATAGATTTACTTCCGATTTGCTATGCACTGCCACGTGCCTACTCTCTAACCAGCACGCACTCTGCTAGCTCCTTGTTATGCATTCTTTGCTAGAAGTACGTGGATCGGGGAGTGCATTCCTGTTAGTGCTAACAAAACGTTCCGACCATCAGCATTATATCGCGGTTCGATCAACATGGTAGCGTTTCTGTCATGATCGCTTAGCTCAACTTGACCGGGTGTGCGATGATTTCTTTCGAATGGTTCTCTGTACCATGCATTTTCCCTTCTGACGCGGTTTTTGGTAATGATAAACGATAAACGATCATGGCTGTCTGTCTCAACTTGGTCTGTGGAGTCGAACAGCAAGCACTATGTGAAATAGCGGTCCCGCGGAAAGGCATTTTTTCTTTGAATCCCAAAGCTTCACAAATTGTTAGTAACAAGGTATAAAATACTGTTCTTAACTTATGTTCTCCATTTTATTCCCAAGTTGTCAAAGTGGCGACGTTCGAAAGCATCTAAATTCGCCCATGTGTTTATTATTGCCCATTTAATCTGGCTAACATCTTCGCTTGACGCTTCGCTGGAGACCAGATACTGGACTATATTGATCTACTAACCGCTCTTTTGAAACCGATCCACTCAGCTGGTCGATCGTTCTGTGTTCCTCTTTGTCTACCTAGGCTTTTCTTCTCTTTCCATTCATGCACACCCACTACATATACCTTGGTGTGCCGATTGAACGCATCGACTACTCTGACCAAACCCGTCATTTTTCGATCTGGTCACGTCCATGAGAAATTGGAACTCGTACGGACATTCTGCGTTTACGCGCTCTTGTCTGCATTTGCTCGTTCGCGAAGATAGATTCCGGTGTATGGGAGGTTGTTGGCTTATACTCTATGTGCGCTTTGAACCACATGTACTACGATGGGCTTGCTATATCCCCTAATTGTCGCTATCCTCATTCGGATAGCACACTGTGCCTCATCACCACTGACCCTGTGAATACACGAAAACTGAGGGACTCCAGTTGGGCCAAATGCATCCATCTCATAAGTTATTGGGTCATTCGCGGGACCGTATTAGCATGAAGGGGAAATCTTGATAGGCACGAGCATTTGTGTTGTAGCGCTCCATTACTATTATAAGTAAATACATAAACCTTTATTCTCCATAACGCAAGACAAACCTACATCGACATGATATTGTCACTATTCTTTTGGCTAACTTCGTCATGGCGACTGCATCCATCGCACCTCGAAGCACGGATCTTGGTAGATGAATTGAACGGGGTATGGCTTAACGACTACCTCCCTTTAAGTCTGTTCCATTCATGACAACTGCGAACTGGTCACAGATATTCAAAGCTACAACGGAAGAGCTGGAGACATTGACCGTTCCGTTCGTTTTTGGATATCTTATCTAAAGTAGATGCTGAATTCAAGTTAACGGCATCCGCCGTTTTCTCTAGGAGCCCATGTTTTAACTTAGCCAAAAAGCGATCCTTAGGTCTATTGGTAATCACCGTGATCAAATTGGTGCTGTATTACTATGGCACACTTGTGTGCTCCCTCTCTTACAATGTGGGCAACTTTATTTAGGCTACAATTATTCTTGCAGGTCTTTGTCGTTACATTTTGACTATCCTCGGCGGTTCTCTTCATATCTTCGGTGAGAATCGTCCACCAATCTAGGCAAGCTCGTTGTAGACGTTTCTACAGCATCCGAGCTGATATCATCAGTGCGTTTTTGAATAGCATGTTCCAAGTTGTGTAAAGTAGAGAAAACAATATATATATATATATATATATATATATATATATCCGGTTCCGGATTTGGCGCTCACTGTGGCCAGCCACAGGACGCCTGCGCCTACTGAGGAAACTTGGGTGGCTTCCCCTGCACCACCCACAGCTGCATCCATACACCCCATATCCAGTGTAAACCGAAGGAATAAGACCGGGAGGCATGTGGATGGGAGCCACGTTTCATCAACGGTGCCGGCCCACACTCCTTCACAGGCAAACAAGCACGCTGTATTTGGGGAATCAATCGCACACAAGGCGGTGGCTGGACCGTAGTCCTCTCCACACTGAGTGCAAGGAACCACTCTTCGAGCCTAGCACGACCACAAGGACCATGCACCTCGTCCCCTCCAGCAACGACCAACTGTCTACTTGAACCGGTATAGACGAGGTAGTGGGTAATAGACAGGTAGGCACCTTGTCAACATGCATATCAAGCGCAGCCACACCGGGGATATCAAGCAACAGCAAAGCACTGTAAACGACAATATCAATTGAAACAAATCGAATAATGCATACAGATTTGCTGACATAGCTCCTCAGTTAGTGAGCATATGAAATAAATAGGTTGCCAAAAAATCCGCGGAAGGTCCAAACGTCAGAAAATATCTTTTAAGAACTCGCCGCCAGCGCGAAAATGTTACCGAGGTTGAGTACAATTAGCTTAAGCGACATGTGCATGTTTATTGAAGATAGTTCAGGTAGACATTAATATGAGATAAAAAATCATTAGGACAATATAGCAAACCC